TCGATAAACGTTGAAAATTTACTTTATTGAATACTATTCTTAATTAAAAATTAAACATTGCCAGGAATGATTTTTATGTAATTTCTACTTATTTTTAATTCAAGTAAAAACTTCTTTATATAGTTGTATCTAGTGTGCTGTAGCTTGCTTGCTTTTGGTTTGTAAAATTGAATGTACAAGGGTTTGACATAAATGCAACCTTATTAATAATACTTTCAAGTGCTTTGTTGAAAAATGTATAACATTGTATGTACATGAATAACTTTAGTTTCTAATAAAAATATTAACAGATGATAATCTTTACAGTCATTTTGGATTAAAAGCATATTACATATTAGTTTATGCATTTACTAATTATTGCAATCATTTTATCATTTCACCCAACCTGTTATCGTTTTAATATATTTCTCGATACTGATCGGTAGATGTATCCCATATGGGTCGATACCACTGTTGATTTACTATTAGTTCCCGAGGGTATCATCAACTCAGTAGTCAGTGTTTCTGTGCTGACAAGATAATGACATGTTTTTCCTAAATTATCGGTTAATAAATTACGAAATTATTAAGAAAATAAGGTTCCAACTCCTAGGAACAGGCAAAGTTGACCACAGGTGGATTTTGGCTATTATATATAGTCCCTTTGGTCATAAAGCTTTTCACTTGTTTCGGTACTTATACATTCTTGGCTTTCATTTCCTTGGCTATAAGGGATCCTGATGAAGGGCTTCGGACTCAAAAATTTAAAAAAAGAGTGTTATTTCATTTCTCGTCAATCAGATGTTAAGTAGAAATAAGAAGATGTGGTATGAGTGCCAATGAGTCAACTTTCCATCCAAGTCACAGTGTGTGAAAAGTAAACAATTATAGGTCAAAGTACGGCCTTCAACACGGAGCCAATGCTCACACCGAACAGCAAGCTATAAAGGGCCCCAAAATGACTAATGTAAAACAATTGAAAAAGGAAAACCAATGGTCTAATCTATATCAAAAACGAGAAACGAGAAACACTTAAGAACCACATCAACAAACGGCAACTACTGAAACAGGTTCCTGGCTTAGGACAGGTGCAAACAAATGAAGTATTTGTCACAACAAGGCATTTGAGCACAAACGAAGATAGAAATGTAATAAAAAAAATATTAAATTCAACTGTTGTCGTGGAGTTGATGCTATTACCTCAGTTTTTGTTTGTTACCTTGATCTGTCTCTTCCTAATCGATTTACGAGATTTGAACATCGGTAAACTGCTGTCGCCTTAATTTATATTGTGTTATTAGACAACACTTGTTTCGGTGGATTTCGAGTAAAAACTTTTTTACTTACAGTAAAGAGCACAGTCCTAAATTGAGTGGTCACACCTTCAGTTCGAAGATTAGATCTACCAAGAGACTCGTTAGCTCTAAAATATTATGAAAAAGCTAATGGTAATGGCGATATTACTTATGTCTTGCGTGTGAAAAACTTTTTTGAAGTCATGGAAAAACTTCATTATATTGTTCGCAAAAAAATATTAAAAAACTTTGGAAGATAGGAATTTTTACATATAATATATATAGAAACACATCTTTTGGCGAAGACTATTTGTACACCAGATACTTATATCAGATATGCTCCAAATGTGAAATTATGTTTTAACTTGACACCCAGGAGTCATAAATAATGAAGGAGTTATATATGTTGCAGTTTTCCAAAAAAAACAAAAAACATAAGAAATTGTATTTTATCAAAAGTATACTTTTCAAGTTTCCTTTCAAATGCATGAATTCAGAAAAAAATAATTTCAAAATTTTGCATTTTCGTTCGATGATATATCGTTATTTTTAACAAATCATATATTTATCACCAAATTTATTTGTTTAGAGTTTTGTTTTCTCGTTAAAATTGTCAGAGTATTTGCGAATTATAAGTTTGCAAGTTTATTCTGTAGCCATTCATGAAAATTAAGTAGACGTTATCAATACCAAGTTACCTGATTGAATAACATTCGATTTTTGCTGGTTTGTATCCTGACCCATTTTAACAAATTAATCTATGCATGCAGCAGAATACAGTACAAATTGTTGATCAATAAAGAATGAAGAGTATTATCTTTATATTCATAAAGTGTAATTATTCATTTCTTGTAAGAAGTCGATGTCGCTGGTGTTTGACTATTAGTCCGCAGAGTATCGTCAGCCATTTAGTCAATTTTTCGCCACTGACATGATTCATAACATACATATCTAAACATTATCCTTAAAAAAATAAGAATTGGTTTTATTGTTTCATTTTCAATTCCTTTTTTTTTATATCATAAATGCACTTGTAGCACTTTTTACATGTAAGGATCAGCACTTAACTATCACATATATAAAGCTACCTATTACAACCACTCTTTGTCCTTATTTTTATTGAACTAAATTCCTTGGCTACATATGATTGAATCTGAAGAGTAGTTATGTATTGTAGTTTTCATTGAAGATAAAGATCAGTCAGGTAGAAGAATAAAAAAGACATACAAAAGTCCAATTAATTCTGAATCTGTTCCACGTTTAATAATAATGCATCATAAATGCACTAACACCAAACTCTTTTGTGGTTAATCTAGAATAAATTCGCTTTTCAATTTATTCATTCGACAATATAACTTCATCTTTGATCTTTTTCCCCCATTCTATTGGAAAAGTATGGCGTAAAATTGTTTAATTAATTCATATTAATCTAAATGAAATCCTTAAACAAGCAGAATCAAGCCTGAAATCGCAAGTCTATCAAGAGAATGGTTCAAACTGTGATTTACTAGGTCAGCACCGTGTCGCAATATTACATAGTGACATTTTGAAATAAAGTGAAGTACTTTATTTAACAACATAATTCAAACTTTTATTTAAGAATTATTGGATATACGATTATATCTTTGCATTAATGTGTTTGGAATGGAATAAACCATCTGATCTGGAAAAATGCACAACACATTCTATGATTACATTGTTGTAATGCATGATTTTGACAATGCTTTCAATATCGTTAATTCTACCACAAGTCATGATCTCTACGAACTGGGAAATAGGTGGGAAAAATGCTTTTCAATATATGTTATTCTATCACAAGTCATGATCTCTTCGAACTGGGAAATAGACGAAGACTTTGTTTTACAATACCTTTTATTCTACGACTAGTCATGATCTCTATGAACTGAGAAATAAGTAGAGACAATGATTTACAATATCTTTTATTCCTACGAATGTAATAATTTCTATGAACTAAGGTTTCATAATAGCACGTGTTCATCAATCTTTGATTTGCATTGTCCAGTGCGTTTCTTTTCAATATGAATTCTGCAAAGAAACGAGGATGATAATGAAGAGATGAAAAACATTTGATTTCGTTTGTTTGAAGAATATAACTTCTATGAAATTTAGTACAAATAAACAATTTAGTGAATATAATAAAATATACAACCAATTTACGATCACAAATAATGAAATATTGACCGAGAAAAGGTTCATGGAATTTCAGTTGCACTGGGAAACAAGGGTTTATTTGAACAAAAGATGAAAACATCACTTTATAAATTTCATGCGTCCGAAGTGCGTTTCTGGATTTACCTTCATCAGAATGTTCAGAATGTTTTTCAATATTCATTATATAAACCATATTATTTGTGACAAGCTTACTGACGATAACATTTGAGTAAATTAATATCAATGTCTGTTAAGCATTATGACGTATTCTATAATTTCTGGTTAAACTGATATGCTCAACAAATGTTGTGGTACCTTTTCTAACGAGCTGATCAAAATGACACAGATGAAAGGGTTTACAATAAGTTTTTTTTTTATCCTGAAATATGAGTATCAATCTGCACAAGAAAAATTATTATATGAGGAAAAACTATTGAGGAAAATACCGTCAATCATTATATCATATCTACCGATAAGCAGGAACCGAAGTGAGAAAATACCAGATGGCACAACGGGTCATTATCGTCCTGGGTACTATAACAACTTTACACTGAGTATGTTTTAAGTTAGAAAAAGTACCCATGTTAGGATAAAAGTTGTTAATGGTACCCAGGTGAACACCCGATCTTAAAAGTGTACCCAGATTAGATATCATGCAATTGTTTTCGTACTGTTTTAGTTTGTTGGTGATGTTTAACCCACCATACACTTGCATCTTAACAGCATGATATGGCAGTCGTTATGAAAGTAGTCGAAAATGATTGGATGGTTTTACAGTTACCTAGAATCTATAGAAACTTATAAAAACGGCATAATTCCCATTGATCTGGGTACTTTTTGTCCTTCGTAGTTACCCTGTGTACTATTTCACAAAAACAAATAAATTGGGGTGCCATTTGATCAAGTAAAAGTAACCAGGGTACTTTTCTATGGTACACAGGAGTAGAAAATACCTATGAAGTCTAAGATTATATTATCCAAGCTTAATATACTTAACATTTTGTGGGATTTGTCATGTAGTGATACATGCTAACTGCTGGATATAAAATCTATATAGAAATAAGAAGATGTGGTATGAGTGTCAATGAGACAACTCTCCATCCAAGTCACAATGTGTAAAAATTAAACAATTATAGGTCAAAGTACGGCCTTCAACACGGAGCTTTGGCTCACACCGAACAGCTCAGCAAGCTATAAACGGCCCCAAAATGACTAGTGTGAAACAATTCAAACAGGAAAACCAACGGTCTAATCTATATAAAAAACGAGAAACGAAAACACTTAAGAACCACATCAACAAACGACAACCACTGAAACAGGTTCCTGACTTAGGACAGGTGCAAACAAATGTAGCGGGTTTAAACGTTTTAACAGGCGCCAACCTTCACCCTAATATGTATATTTCACATATAGATTTATGGCATTATAAGGTAATGTTACTTTGACAGTGCTTCTCTCTTGCCTTTTTTAAGATTTTCAAACTTCATTCTGTTGTTACGAAAATAAATTTCTAAGAAAACGATAATGAGGTTGTTAAATTATATATTCTTGTAGGTGCCAACAAAGCAGAGACACATTATCTTCCACAAGGAGTGCACAAATTTCCATTTGAATTCTTTGTACCAACTGGCTGTCCAACTACATACGAGGGATCCATTGGACGTGTTAGGACATACGTCTCCGCTACCCTTGAGAAGCTATGGGTATCTGATATATCGACCCTGAAACCTTTCACTGTCATTAATCCACTGGATCTGAACAAAGACCCTCGCGCTAAGGTAAAAGTTTTATCAAATTAGTATTTCATTAAACATATTGAAGATTGAACTTAACTTAGAATTGAACATTGACTTAACATATATTTTGTATCATCTACTAGTACAGTCGTTCCAAAAATAATATACAGGTCATCTTGAATGGACAGGAAAATATGAATGATTGCAACAGAAACCCAATTATATAAATAACATATAATGAAATGTGTTGAAATTTTTATTTGTTTCTTGTTTACGAACAAAGAAATCACTGACGAAGCTATGTTACTGTAAGGATGGTAGTATGTTAAGAGCAACTATCTGCCTCCTGATATTGCAAAAAATTATGATTTTTCCCCTTATTTCAAAATAATGTTAGTTTCATTGATAAATGGATAGTATAATGTGATCTTAACACTTTTAGTACAAACGGTTCATTGTGATGTCACTCTGATGTCATGAAATTGTTGAAATCGACATACATATATTTTACCAAAATGGGTCATATTATATAATAGTTATTCACAAATTAAGATAGGAGCCAAGGCCTTACCCAAAAATATATTCTATCCACTTTAACGTATTTGTTTAAGACATCTAGTAACAAAAGGTATAATAACAAAAATACCGAACTTCAAGGAACAAAACGGAAAGTCTTTTATCAAATGGCAAAATCAAAAGCTCAAGCACATCAAACGAATGGAAAACAACTGTCATATTCCTGACTTTGTACAGGCATTACCTTGTGTAGAAAATGGTGGATTAAACCTGGTTTTATAGCTGGCTAAACCTCTCACTTGTGTGACAGTCGCAAAATATCTTCTTGAGCAAGGCCATGGCTCATTTCTTAATATTTTAAATGACGACATTTCAAATTAAGGCTATTTTGTCCATTTTTGCAGTGTTGAATTTAAAGCAACAAATTTGAACAAATGAAGCAAACATGTAAGACATAATTCAAAAATATATAAATTTACCCTAAAATGACCTTATCATACTTTCTTTAATGTATGAATCAACAATGAGTTGCTGGAAACTATCGAGGTAAACCGTGCGTATTGATTTAGTATTATGTACTTCAAGGGCTTTAAGCTTTTGGCATTTGCTGTCTTTCTATCATCTGATTTCAATATCTGTCATCAATCATAGCGTACTTATATCCAGATAAGCTCATACGTTTTACATGCACGGATACATTTTTTCTCTTTATGACATACATTTTTTAGCATGATAATGAGTTACGTTTTTGATGTTTTCTTTTCTCATTTAATCAATTAACTTTAGAAGTACTATGATATATTCAATACACCATAGATTAAATTTAGAACACACGCAGTTACCTTTTTCTGCAAGAAAATAATTTTATATTATAAATGAATAATACATGGCAAAATTCTAAGATGCTGATATATATTCATAAACACTATTATGTAATATTGTAAATATTGATGGATTTATAAAATAGCATAGGATTTAACACAATTACTCGCAGTTTATCTAGATGTTTACTAGATCAACTCACCCACAAACCAAAAACGTCTGAAGGACTTTTAAGAAAGAAGTAGACTGAATTGCTCCAGTTTAAACATCACTAAACCTAGAAAAACAAATAGGAAAAACCCATTTTTCAGAGATTGTGTATAAACACACATTTGTCAGACTTTTATTTGTTTGTGAGTGAATTGGTCCGCTTTACAAATCATAACACACATGATTTTTATTAATATTGGTATCTTTGATGAGTTTTTTAATCTTCATAATTCATATTTATAACTAATTCAATTTTCTTTTTGCCCCAACTGTCGTACATAATGTTCATATGTTTTAAATTTGTAAATTGATTTCAACGATGAACACGGTTTATCGAAACTGTAAAACATTACTCCTAGAAGGGCGTGTAACCAATCAAGCTGTTGTCGTTGGTTGCTGTCTGCTTTATTGGTTTTCTCTTTTGAATTGTTTCACATCTTGTCATTCCGGGGCCTTTTATAGCCTACTATACGGTCAGGGTTTTTTCTATTGTTGAAAGCCGTACGGTGCCCTATAGTTGATGACACCCTCGTCATTTGCCCTCGTTATTTAGATAGTTGTCTCATTGACAATCATACCATATTCTATCATTTTCATTTTTGGATTGTTTTCACAACTACATATTCTTCTGTCTCATTTCAGAGGAATGCATTTGTTTTCCTGACACGATCAACTGAAAACATAAAATTGAATAAAAAGCTAACTGTAAAGATATTCAACTATATTTGTCACCAATATCAATTTTATATGTATTCTTTTTTTCTATAATGACTTGAGCGACCTTTGTAGATTTATCATTTCGATGCATCACAATTGTATTGGGAACGTTATGACATTCGGTATATATAAAAACCGGAATGTTTACCCGTTTGTAAAAATGTAGACATTAAGAGTTGTATCGTCCGACTGAAAAACATACGTAAACATATAAAAACTGACAAGCACTTTAACAAACAAGCAATGAACAGTTTATGTTAGATCTACAAACTCGGCTAATTTGTATTCCCATAAAAACAAAACAAAAAAAAGAACGATCGTTATTTAAGGCGCCCGAAAGGTAATGATAACTTGCTTCGGATGCTACCATCGTAGTTTTACACATTGGTCATAACCAGTTATGAATTAAATTTGGTAAAGGTCAAAATCGGCGAAAGGATGTGAAGGAAAAATGTGTTTTCAATCATTTGCAACTACGTATACTCACATGATAATAATTGAACATATTGTTGTAGGGATCGCTAATTTGATTTGCAGTGACGAATATCAGTTTAGTCTGAATATAATTTTTATCCTTGGTGAAGCATGTATACGTAACTGTGATTGTGTTGTTTCGAGTAGTCAACGTAGTCCTTTCTTGAAGGGAACAAAATGTTTTATATAAACACAGAAACATTTTCAACTGTTGTCATATGTCATATCTTAATGATGATCGCTTTGTGGAGAATTGTTTCTGTTTAATTTATTCACTTGACACTTGTCTGTTGTTTTTGTCCGTTGGTTTTTTTTGGCGTTGTTTGGTTGTCACATTTACATATACCCCAAACCTCCTTTTGTTCATAACTTATGAAAAGTAAGCTTGAAAGGAAAAATCTCAATTGGGGGGGGGGTCCATAAAAACCAAAAGGTAGCTCCTTATGTCGAGGTATGAAGCAGACGCTGTAGTCTCTATAGTATTCTTAATTTCAAATTAGCGCATTAGATACTTTATAATTTGGTGCGTCTGAGGGTTTTTCTGGTTTTACTTTTGTATAGAACGCTCAAAAAGTAAATTGTGAAAGCCGAGTATCTTCAAAGTAATTATCATCTTTTATCAAGAAAGAAAGTACATTTTTATTATAAATAAATCCGAAACTAAAGGACTTGGATAACATCTTTATAACTGTTGTTTTATCTTTTTACTGAATTGTGCTGCATACTAGTGGCAAATAAATTTATAAGTAGCGGTTAATAGAATTTCGAGTTTTTCTAATTGGCTGTCGGAAAATCCGACGAATTCTACACAGTTGATCAAAATCTGCATCGTTCTAACCTTATCAACTTCCTAATAAAACATTCTAAATTAATTCGAATATGATGAACAGCATAACCCCTCCTAAGTTAGAAAACTAACAGAACAAAAAGGAAAAATATTTGTATGATTATTAAGTTAAGACATAAATTCTCATTTTAGTATTGTAACAGTTAAGTATTGAAGTTTATTTTTGAATTTTGTGGCCCCTTATTGATATGTTTAAAAGACAAGTGTTGCTAGAAATACAGTTTAAAAGATTTCTCAGTTTTAGTTAAGATTTTATGTTTATCGTTCCCTCTTATGTATAATTAAACTCATCACACATAACAAGATTAAAATTGTGTACTCCAGAACACGGCGCGCGTTCGTCTACAAAAAAAAGTTAAAAGAGCCAAATAAAGTGCGATGTTGAAGAGCATTGAGGTATGGTCAAGCAGTATCAAAGTTGCGATAATCATACAATTTATTGAGGTGGCCGTTCCTCAGAGGCTTTATTATTATTCAATTTATTCCGTTTCTCGGTTTCCTTTACCTGGCATAAAAGCAGAAACTGGTATGTGAAAAAAAAATAAACGTTTTCTTCCTCAAAAGCCATATCATACGCAAAGAAACGCCAACGTTCTAAAGATATCAACTTTCTTGACATGTGTAAATCATTCGAATTTATTTCAAATATGATGACCATCAGTAACCTTCCCATACTATTCTGGTATCTTAAGATTTAAGATCGCGAAAACATGTGAGCTGAGACATGTCAGTAATCTGACCATCTTTCAAATGATATCGTATTGATATAAATTTCTAAAGATATAAATTCAATCATACTGACTTGTAGATGGTAATCATGGAAAAGATCAAAAGGAAACCAATACATAATAGAACACTGCAATGCAATTAGAACAAATTGAATTCAAGGAAAAACATACTTGAAACAGAGTTAATGTGCATTTGTGTCTTATACAACCACTTTATTACATTCTGCACGTCATACCTGAGATTCAAAAAGTAATTAAATGGCGCATTACAAAATAAAAAGACACGGGAAAGAGCCAATTATTACAACATCATTTTGTCCTTTAATTAAAATCATAATTCAAATGATAAATCGTGTGCGTAAAGCCTTAATTTGCAAATGCATCTATTTTTATCACCTTTTTCTTTTCAGGAAAAATCCGAAGCCATCAACGAAGCAACGTTTTGTTGCTTGTGTTGTAAGTCCGATCCGATTAGTGTCAAAATATCCGTTGAAAACATAGGATTTGTTCCGGGTCAAGCTATTCCTATAACTACTGAAGTATTAAATCTAAGTCGGAGAAAGATTTCTGTCATTAAAGCGTACTTGCACATGGTGAGTAGATCCTTCAAAACAAGAACGTTGAGGCATTGTGGTGGTTAAACGCCACATACTATATATTAACAATTACATTGATGTAAGATATCGAAACTGATAGAGACCAGTAAAAGAGACCGGGAATACCTTTCGTCAAGTAGTCGAGAGTTTAGCACTTAAGCAAAATACAGGAAGATTGATTGATTGATTGTTGGTTGCCTAACGTCTACAGAAAGAAGACAACAAAGGGACAATAAAAAATACTAAGTCGAAGAGAAACAGACCACATGGCAAAATACAAAAACGATGAAAGAACAACAACAGTCTACAAAAACGGTACAACTCCCTCGGGCAAAGTTGGCATTAGAGGAATTTGGCTATTTCTGCGTCACTTTTGATCATACAGCTCTTCACGTGTTTATATCTTATACATCATTGACTTTGAAATGTTAAGGTTTGGCTATTCCTTATAAAGGTAAATCCAGAAATGAGATTCAGACGCACTACATTAATATAGTATTATTTTCATTTACAAAGAAAACCATAATACTGCAGCTCCTTTGCAAAGCTGACCCTTAACGGGTTTGACTGTTCTATCTTCTGAGTTTTATGCTCTTAACTGCTTTATATGTCTGGTTTTCAAAACGTTTGGTCTGAAGCATATCTGATGAAGATTATTCTAGAACAACATACCGTACGCTCATAAACATTTTTTAAAATTAAAATACCATAAAATATAAGAATAAGGAGATGTGGTATGATTGCCAATGACACAGCTATCAAGCTGAGACCAAATGACGTAGATTTAAGCAACTAAAGGGCACAGTACGATCTTCAACCATGACCAAAACTCATACCATATAGTCAGCTACATGTATTATAAAAATCCCTTACATGACAAACAATTCAATAGAGAAAACCAACAGCCTGATATATATAAAAAAAAACAATAACGAAAAACAAATACGGCAGACAACAACCAACGACAACCACTGAATTACAGGATTTTGACTTTGCAGAGACACATAAAGTATTCAGGCACCATTAAACATGTTTTTTAGCGCATCCTTTCCAAATACCTGGGAGAGTGGCGTGACGACACAACATAGAAACAAACAAGACAGAAGGCAAACATATTTGAAAAATACAACCCCTACTAAGCATTAGAGGAGGATACTACATTGTACATTTTATTTCCTTAGAAAGACATTATAGTGTCTTGGTCCAGTATAACAAGACACATATTTTATTGTTATATTGTGTATACATTTACTACTTTACACTTTTTATTTGTCTTAATTGTAAAAAACACAACATCTTGTTCATATATGGTATTGTATTTCGTTAAAAGTTACCAAGAAAATAAAAATAATTGAACCTGGAAATCTATAACCATATAAAAATCAATATTAAATTTACACAAAAACATTGTCTTATAAATAGAAATATAAATCCTTAATGATATTAAAGAACCTATATACATTTAAAAAAAACAAATTTTAATGTATGTTACAGAATGTTCGATATCATACCCAGAAGAAGTCAAAGACACACCAGAACGTAATAGCCGCTATGAAAAGAAAAGTGTCAAAGTCGCATGAAGCTGATGTCCTTCAGAATAAGCTACTGATACCGTCCATCCCGCCTTCATTTCTTAATGGCTGTAATATAATTGATATTTCTTACATTTTGGAAGTGAGTAAATTGATTTTAGTATGGGGCTCAGGTAAAGGTTTACAGAATACAGAATGTTGAGCAAAAAATAGAGAATAAAAGGCTGAACAATTTAGAATAAAGAAAAGTGGCTTAAAAATTACAAAAATAAGGATCATATATACTGACCCTCTAGTATTTTCTATATTTTGTTGAAAAACTTAATCATAGATCGATTATTGCTTGCTCATTTAATGTATTTTTTTGTTTTTGTTGTGTTTCCAGTTACATATATTTTTCTAGTTACAATTCTTGTGTGAAAAGTCATAAATTTAAATGTGAGAGCTGTAACACATTTTATTTCATTCAAAAATAGCGTACACACATGTGTAATGCAGTAAAACGGGCACGTGGGGTTAACGTCAAAAACCAGCAACCCAATGACAAAAAGAATCAAAAGGTATCTACTTATAAGTCTTCAACCTTAAACAGGTGTTTACACAATATGGCTAGCTTTAAGGACTTGATCGTCCCGAGTCAATAAAAGCTGTGAATAAATTTAACAGAAACACCCAAATATCCAAAAAGCTTTGACCGAAGCACATTTTGTATGAAGGGCGAAAGCGAAAGCGCTTCATTCTAAAATTGTTGTATTCATACGAAAATAAATTTTGATATTGGAGTGCCTCGCAATTGTTGTAAGCCAATCCAAATTACTGATTATAATGAAACATACATGTAATGTAATTATTAAAATATAGCATGCGAAATCTACTGACGACTACTATAAAATGAAATGCGTGACCTTTACTTTCAAAACGGTAAGTCTTAATTGATATGTACTTTGAACACATTTAAAAAACGTAATTCAACAAATATGAAATTATTTATAAACATAAAAATTACATTACTTTTTCTTATTTACTAGTACATTTATATTGAAAATTAGACAAGAAGTAAAATGATACCAAGGAATCAATGGAAAAGAAGAACAGTATACCAAACACCAAACAGAAAACACGAGACTGAGCAACAAGAACCCTAGATAAAAAGGAATAAACTAAGGTGCTCCGGAAGGTTAAACAGTTCTTACTCATCTAGGTGTGCCCGTCGTATTGCTCGTGGTTTATGTTTATAATGTCTTATAGTATTCGGCTATAAGTCGCATTCAATGGTAGTCAGCAACTTAATATTATTGTTATGTAAACCTTTATTATTTGAGGTGATTATACAACCATCGGGATTAGCCTTTGATATACCCGTCAGAATGGAACTAATAGTAGGGACATATCCAATGGAATCAACAATTCGGTCATTAACTCAGTCCACCATTATATCGTCTAGTCCAAATGAAGAGAATCACATACAGAAAAAGGAAGTAAAAAATGGCTTAGTTGTATCTACAAATCCAAAAAGTGAGTACTCCGTTTGTTATCAGTATATTAGTATTTCTGGGTACGACTGTTTAGTGATTTAAAATGTAAATTGAAGATGAATTGTTCCCCAATTTATTCATCAAACATATAAATTTGTAAACTAAGGTGTATTTCTCAAATTGTAAGTATGTTTTCTGAACAGGCTTTCGATTAGAGTCGAGAAATGCTTTTTTTTTTAATTTTGGTTGCTTTTGGTCAGGTTGGCCAATCATTTAGCATACTCACTTAAATATTCAATCAAACCGACATCTTTAAATATAAATTATGAATAAAATTATGAACACGTATGTCATGGCTATCTGAAGAGACAAGGTTTATATCACCACTATGTTTCTAAAGGCATAGTACACCAAAGGAACAATAAAAATCTTAAACTTAAGAAAAACCGACAATACCATGATTAAAAACAAATAACGACGAAAAGACATCAGTTCATAAAATAACGGGGTGATCCCACGGCTGGTGGTCTGGAAGGATAAACAGATCGTGCTTCACATTTGGCACCTATCGTGTTGCTCATGGAAAGTCTGACCATGCAAATGTTTCCTTCTGCAGGATATGATTACCAGAGTACCTAATGTCTTCCACGTTTTATTTTTTTTTCTATTGTTTTGCTCATTTATTAACTATTCTATAAATAGTTCGAAACCCGCATGTGGCATGTGCGCTCGACTCCAATCTAAATTGATTAGGATTGTCAGTTTTCAAACCAAAGGTCGGTGGTTCTCTCCGAACTCTCTGGCTTCCTCCACTAATGAAAACTGACCTCCACGAAATAGCATAATAGTACTGAAAGTGGCTTTAAACACCGATCAATCAAACAATCAATCTAAAATCCCCATTTAGACTCTCACAAATAAGAAAATATAATTGTGTCTTGATATTAAAACCGAACCTTTCTGACATAACCTATTAATCAAATTCAGAACGAATTTCATGTGTAAGTACATGGCTAGGATTTAAAAGCATTTCTTTATGCTCTCGAGAATTTCATGTAAAAAGTAATGTAATGTGTGTTTTGCTTAGTTGCACTTTTTATTTCAAATTTCATATGCAGTCCTTTCCAACTTTGAAAATATACTAATACTTACTTGTCTTAACTGTCTCAACTTAAATAGGAACACCCAGTAGAAGGTATCATTTTCACTGAACTAGTACACAACGGGTGCGGGATTTTCTCGCTACGTTGAAGATCCATTGGTGGCCTTCGGCTGTTGTCTGCTCATTGGTCGGGTTGTTGTCTCTTTGGCATATTCCCCATTTCCATTCTCAATTTTATGACAAAGTAATGTTTTACCCAGTACAATGTAACTAAATGTATGATTATTTGTAGTTTATCTCATTATATTAGTTATTTGGTTAACTATCAATTGTGACACATTAGAGCGGTGTTGGATGAAATCTCAATTGTTGGGATTAAGGGAAAGTATAACGATAATTACTTCAATTATATGTAGCCTTTCCCAACAAGATGTTATTGCTACAAGATATATTTTTCAAAGAACATTATGCAATTAAAATATTTGAAGGGGCACGGTTGTTACTCACTGAACAAATTGACGACTTTTGATAAACATTCATATTATAATAATTAAGTTAAAGGGTGTACTTAAACATTATATTTGACATAACATATTACTGTGTTCAAATGTATACAAGCAAACATTGGTAGAGAATTAAAAAAAAAACAATTTCTCCAATTCTGCGTTAAATAACAGCTTTCATCATATTGTCTTCTATTATTCATCTTCAAAGTTTTAAAGCTCACCTAGTTTTTTTTTTAATTCATATTTGATTTGATACCAAATGAAGATGAGTTTAGTTTTATTAGTACATGTATGTGAAGTAAAGAAAAACGCCACTGACGAATATGTATATAACAGTAGGTATCATTCAAATTTTCAGGCTGTATTTCGTTTATGGAGAGTGTTATCGGAAAGGTGACTATTGAAGACGAAGAAGAATCAGACAATATAGAAGATAAAATTGTTTACACACCAGTATATCCCTATTTTAGTGTTCAACAGAGTACGGACATATTCTGCGTTGATATACCTCCACGATAATGGGTAGCGTTAGTGAGTTATTTTTCAAAATTGAGGAGATTAAACGGTTTCTTTAGAAGTAAAGATAAACGCACCGTCGGTACAGTTCGAGGAATTATAGTATTATATGTGATCGGTATTCTATCTTTGTATATTGGAACGGGGTTTGTGTTGCTCCTACTCAACAAGCAGTTTTCGAGGAAATCGTCTGTGTATGATCAGGGGTTCAGTTCTGGTCTTGTCTAATTGATATATTTGTTTTAATCAGCAAACTAATAAACGCACTAAAACTGAGACTGCATTTCTGCCCAGCTATTTTAAACTTTAGATCTGATTGGATTTTAATGTTTAAATGTGTTTATAAACATGTATTTGGCTTACCGAAATTTTGTCTCACGCATACCTGATGAAAGTTGCACTGAAAAAAGACACCAAAAGCCATCAGAAAATATTCATTGCCGCAAAAGAATATGTATTTTCACTAAAACGAATATTTTCTGGCAATGGGATTTGTAAACATGGTAAAGGAGTCACGAAAATGTGTATGTGTCAGATGTCCATTCGTTCTGGAATTTAGTATTTGAAATATACCACTGTGATGAATGTTTGTAGAGGATACATCAGCATTTGTTAAAATATTCACTTAATAATATTGTACATCATTGATTTCATTTTGTAAATATAAAATGGCATTTTATAATTCAACACTTTTTTTTATCATTGTTATGAACTATAATATATCTATTTAATTATATTTAATTATTTTTAATGATTGTTATGTCATTTATTAAAGCAAGAAAAGATTTAGCTTTTTATCTTCATCTGATTTTTAAGAACAGATAATAAAAAAACAACAGAATTATATCTGGCATGAAGAAAAATATCTAAACATTTATGTAACAGAAAAAAGAGGTGGATGGTACCAATTGACATTAAAAACTTATAAGTCGCGATAAACTGACAACGCCAAACTGGGGATAGGGGCGGGGGGGGGGGGATATCATGTGCTCCGAAAGGGATAGCAGAGTGGAATCCGTCGTGTTGCTCATGGTAAGTACAAAGTCGGTGTTGAGTCTATTCGGTACTGTCACAATCGTGGAAAAGAGGACGGATTGTGGTTACGACAATTGAAATAATAAATATAAAAAAAATCGTTTTTATGTTCTAAGCGAGCCTTGATATATCTGAGCATATTCAAAATTATTATAAATATCACTAGTTCATAAATATTTTAATAAATTGATTTCTAAATCCCTTTGTCTGTGTCAAAGTAATTTATATAATTGTTCGCCCAGTAGCTAATCGCAACAGTCGATATGTTCGTCCCACTTGGATAGCGCTTTGATACATACGGATTTAAATTATCAAGTTCGTGACAAAGTTTCTCATCATAGCAGGTGGCGATGATAAAAGGGGGTCAGAATGACGGTGAAGAGAGAAATACATGTAGATGTATTACATGTAGATGTATTACATATAATGACTTGGGGGGAAATGAGAAATTAGACCAGTGGTCAATTTCGAAAGAGAGCTTGAAGAAGTTCAAGAAATGCCACTGGTTTGCTGAGACTCTAACTCTCATATACAGTGAGTAGTTGAAGGGGAGATGGGTTGGTAATTTGTTACTTTTTATGATAAAACTAATGTATGACTTTCCCTGTCAGCAAACAAAACTCAAACTGAAAACTATCTAGCATCCAGGGGAAACCTTAGAAGCGTCTGTATCACTTCATGCCTCATGACCAAATAAGAAGTGCTCATGCAGCCAGGGCTATGTCAGTACCAATCATGTGCTTCACACATGCATCCTATGATGTGTCTTGAATAAACAACGCTTGTATACATAATAGTCGAAAATAAACCGACAACGTCATGGCTAAAAAAGAAAAAGACAAACAGACAAACAACAGTACACAAAAAAACATAGAAAACCAAAGACTGAGCAACACAAACCCCACCAAAAACTGGGGGTGATCTCGGGTGCTCCGGAAGGGTAAGCAAATCCTGCTCCACATGTTGCTAATGTCAGTACAAACCCGGTGATATGTCCAATTCGGCAGGTCACATTCGGAGGAAGGGGACGAGATTGTAGTTACGACAATTGGAACGTATCCGTCGTCAACAGTGAAACAGATATTCCATAACGGTCAATCAACTCGTGATGGCGTCCGTACATTTACGAAGGGATGATTTCAACTTCACCACTTGGAGCTCTTGGTTTAATAGCTTCCTTGTGAGCAGCAACCCTCTATCAAGGAAATCATGATAGGAAACACAAGCCCTGGAATTTCGTATCAACTGGGAGATATATACTCGTCATCTGTGAAGCAGATATTCCATAACGGTCAACCAACTCGTGATGGCGCCTGTAAAATTTGCGAAGGGATGATTTCGACTTCACCGCTTGGAACTATTGGTTTAATACAGTTTAATAAGGAACCCTCTATCAAGGAAAGCATGATAGGGAATGCAAGCCCTGAAATATCGTATCGTCTGGGAGATATATTACTTCATATGCAGGCGCTGCTGGAATGTTGCTACATAGAAATGGAAAGTTCACAATTGGGAAACTGAAATCATCTCTTTTGTTGTAAAGTTTTGTTTTCAACCGACCCTCATTGTCAATTTCTAGATTTAAGTCAAGATATGAGGCAGACTTAGCTGTATCTGTTGTATCCTTTATATCAAGTTCGATGGGATAGATGCGTTCAACATAGTCATCAAATTTTGAATTATTTAGTGAGAGAACATCATCTATATAGCGGAAGGTGAAATTAAAGGATACTGCTAACTTCTTTTTTTTCTTCCTGAGAAGTTCCTGTATGAAGTCAGCCTCATATGAATAAAGGAACAAGTCGGCAAGAAGAGGATCACAGTTGGTTCCCATGGGAATGACGATTGTTTGTTGAAAAACACGTCCTCCAAACGTAACAAATATGTTGTCAATCAAGAAATCAAGCATTTTGATAATGTCAGCTTCAGAGAATTTTTTGTTTGAATCGGGGTGAGTTTTTACAAAGTACGATTTATCCCGCCCTAAGACAAGAAACTTGTATCTACGTAAGCCATTCTTTTTTTATGAAACAAAGCATGACCAACTCTTTCAATTTGTCTTTTAGTTTGGAATGGGGAATACTTGTGTAAAGTGTAGAAAAGTCAAATGTTTTAATACTATTGCAAGATGAAAGAATCTTAGATTGTATGTACTCTAAAAGATCTTTGGAATTTTTTAGGATCCACATCTAATTCACGCCACCTCTAGAATATGTAGTTTCACGATAACTTTGAAGCCCGGCTTTGATTGCTGATAAAATAGATGTTAATAATTTAGGAAGAGGTTTCGTGATCACTTGGAAGACCCAGCAATATAACGTTGTTTGTAAGAACACTTATGTAGTTTAGGTATCTAATACAGTGAAGAAAGATCCAGTTCTTCATCTTTGGTTAAAATTCCAAAGGAACATAAAACAGACCTATGATTATCCAGGATTTCCTCCTTGGTAAGTGTCGTGGGGGTATATGTTGAGTTTCCAAGTGAATTGTCAATACCTAATTCATTTATCAATCAGTTTATGTAATGTGATTTACACACAAACACGATGGTGTTTGGGGCTTTATTTGCGTGGACAATAACATATTTGTTCATGAAGGTACATGTAGAACAGGTGTTTTGGCACATTTGATTCTTTAAAGATTGATGTAGCATTAGTGTTCATAGACCCATTCATCTTTTTTTAATTCTGATTTGTATCAAACGACCTCACGGCCTTAATCCATTCCGAAAGAGTATCTATGTCTTCTTTCTCGCGTTTAATCCATTGCCTGGTATAATCCTCGTAAGTGCTGTCTTGCCCAACAAAATAAGAAAGAGGGAGAAAGTACCAGGTAGACATTCAAATCCGTAATTAAAAAACAACAGCAAATATCATGACCAAAAGGAAAAACGACGAAAACCCTTATTTCAATAGTATTCTTTTTTTCGCAGCAACTCTCTATCATAATTTCTCAATTAATTCAAATGATATATTTACAAAAAAGGGTTAAATGTGCGAAATCTCGGATGAATAGAAAACCATAGCCGATTAATTATTTTTTAAAAGCTTATTCCCCTTGATATCATATCGATAAATATCATACTCACCTTCTGCCTCGGAGTTAGAAGTTTTGAAATTCAAGTCAAAGGTTAACTTCAGCAATCTTTCCGACGACATAGAAAGTCAGTATTCAAATATTTTGTTGCAGTTATGTAAATATAAATTATATGGAAAGACATTGTGTAGGCACTCTCGAACATATATGCCCCATTTCAGTTTAATGAAATTCAATCCGATATATACCAGACTTTGTAGCAGTCTTTTTTATTGCCTTTACCTCATTCTCACAAGAAAATATTCAGTTCTTGCGTTCAAGCAAATTTTAGCGTCCTTCCTATTTATGACATAATCAAATGTGACTCATCAACGGATTTTTTAGTTACCATGAGTAACACGACAGATACCACTAGCGGAACAGGAAATGCCTGTCCTTCCCGTGCATTGATTTCATTCCTATTTTTTTTCAATTGGGGTACAGGTTGCTGTTGCTCACTCTTTTGTTCCTGTTATAGTGTTTTGTCGAATTTTGCCTGTATCTTTCACTTTTGGTTATATTGTTGTATATCCTTTCCGAATATAGTTTTTAATGTCATTCTCTCTTTTCCAAAGCAATACGAAAACAACATGAACAAATTTACATAATGGTACATATTGATCCTATTTATTCTACTTTTAACACCATCTTAAGCTACTGGCAATAGAGGATACGAAACACGTATCCGTAACAACCTATAGCATCTAATCTAAAAGCCTTAGGACTTGTTTAACAACCACAAAACTTTTGGAAGCGTGAACACGGAGGGGCCATAAACAGAACAGGAAAACACGTGTAAAGTCAACTTTACCTCAAACTTCTTAGATGAAACTAAATAATATATTAAACAAAATAATAAGGGATATATACAGGGAAATGTGAATTGCATATAACAGTTTTATATGTATATTTTTTATATATATTTAATTATTTAGATACAAGGTTTTATTCTTCTTGAACAAAAATTAAACGTGGAGAGTACAGACGATTAAATCAAATCGTCTGAAATATGATACTCATTAACTTATAATATATTCTAAACGGCCTTTTCAATGAATGAATGGAATATGTCTTGAAAAAAAGCATAACCCTCAAAGATTAAAAAATTGAAGACATGTTTATTGTTTCAAATTATTTGTACTACTGTAAAAACTGAATCAAATTTACTGTCAACAACCATTGTGTCACCAGCAGTAACATGAAGGACATCTCCCACGTTTAGCTGTACAGCTACAACGGCGGCGTGAGATTCAAATCCAGTATCCCCATGTTTTGTACCAGCCGCTATTATGTCATTATTTTTTTCGATACGAAATTTAGCACTACTGGTGTCTGTCCTGATAAAGCACGAAACAAGGTAAAATCCATCTTTTTCACAAATGAATCTCCCATGGTTCCTTATCGCTGATACGTCTTTGGTTCCACGAGAGGTCTGTATCTTGGTGAAAGGAATTTCTTCGCCAGCTTGAACGGTTTGAGTATCAGGCCATGCTGAGAACAATGCTGTAAATTATGCAAATAATAATTAATTAAAATTAGAAAAAAATATAGGTATACAACTCTTTTATTAGATGTCTTTTGTTTGAAAAATTTGAATAATAGTGTTCCTGCACGGCCTAGGCCCGATTGTTCATCCGAAACGTCTTGAAATATTCAAACTCAATTGGGGATCAAGATGG